TGATGGTTCAACTGCTGGATCCCGGTCAATTTCATAAGACATATGCTAATAATAATTATTATTGTCGTTTTAATTTTTAGCTTCATTATAATTATAATTTAATATTTATTACATTATATTTTAATTATATAATGTTTTTTTATCCATAATTAATAATATTATAAATATTTGATTACTTTTATTAAATATTTGAATTGAAATTCATCCTTAGATTAATCTTATATCAAAAAGATAAAAATATCTAAACTAATAAAAAATAATTCAAATTGATATAAATTAATAATTAAATATTAAAGAATATCTCTTGTAAAATAAATCTTATAGATTTATAGTATTTATCTTATTAATAAACTGTTTATTATATTCTTCTTGAAATATACTTTTAAATTGAACTATATTCTAGTTAGTCATGCATTAAACACTACTATTATTTATCTTTAAATAACTTTTTGATAAATCTTAGTAAATTATAACTTGTATTCTTGTCGATATCTTTTGAAGACTCTCCCAATAATATTATTAAACTTGTAGTTATTCATATTAAATTCATGTAGTCACATGATAGTTTAGGATATAAAATTAATAAAAGACACCAAAAGGATAACAATATGAAAAAGGCAAAATATTATTTATATATTAATTAAATGTCTTCTATTGGTTAAAAAAATTATACTTCTCGAGTATTTTTCTTATGCTCTTTGATTTTTCTCTTAAGTAATTTATCAATAATTATTAAAAATATCATTGCTTATAACTTTGATAAATAAAACTGTATCTCCGAATTTATTAAAATTTCATTCGTAAACTTGACACGTAAAAATAAGTGCAAATTTCAAATTTTAGCATACAAAATGCTAATAATAAAAATATTTCTCAGGTTCTATTCTACAGGTCTACAAAATTTATACAAAATTCGACACGTTAGTTCATGAGATATTGTGCAAAAATAAATTTGAGAGGTAATAATAATTTGATTCATGTTTTGCGCAATATCTCGTGAACTACTATGTCAAGTATTCTAAAACTCGCAGACTTGTAAGAATAGGGACGGTAATTAATTTTAGAGATGCCGGTAATTACTTCGTTTCGGTAGATTACGATTATAAAGTTTCTTTTTGATTTTTGTAGCCAGTTAAATTACTTGATAAAAAACCATTTTTGGACCGTGATAAGAACATACATAATTGTTTGGAAATTGAGTTGGCCAATGAAAATGAGGCTTTGTTTCATTACGCAAATCTATCGTAATGTTATTCGTATATCTACAAATTTAATATCAGTCATATGCATGTTTCGATAAATCAAAAATAGATGCTATCAAGCTTCTGACATAACAAGTAATCGTTTGTCGGTTACATCGATTTCGGATATTATTTAATTTAATTAAAACGACGCTCCTTTATTACTATTATTTGCTCTTACTATTATTATTCATTAACACGAAAGAGTAATGTCTATACCAAGAGCTCAACAAAATCCGAGTGACGAGGAAATTGCACAGTTGTTAAATGAGCAAACATTACCGGGGTTTGAGTCTGAGACTAAAAAACCAAAAGTATGTAAAAGTATTGACGAGTTGGAAATGTATATTTTATTGCAAGAATGTGGAATATTAAACCAAACCTATTCAAATAAAAATGTGAACAATTCTCAGGTAGCAAGAAACCGGTTTATTATTGTTGCCCTTGGAGCTTTCTTAATCACTATTTCTATAACAGCAC